GGTTTGGGAAGCAGTCTCCCCTAGTCCTCCTAGGGAGCAAAAGTCACCCCTGAATTCACACCTTCCATGGGCCTTTGTCAGCAAGGCACTGCTTTCCCATTCATCCTGTCTCTGGAGATCACCCACACGCCAGAGCGGCCTCAGCCGCTCTGGACCACTAAGTCAGGGCTCTCAGGCTCGCCGCAGGGCATGGCCAGTGCCAAGTCATGGGGTAAGTTGCCCACCAGAGCCTGGCCCAGCCTGGGACTCAGCCTTGGCTCCTGTACCATATTGCTGGAAAAATGGCTCAAAGTTAAGTCACCTTTGTGGACCGCAAGCTAGCAACTGGTTAGGGAAGGCTGGCCCTCTCCTAGCCCTTTCTTTGCTCTCCAAGCCTGGTCATTTCACACTTTGCGATTACAACACACATTAGGAGCTCAGTTCCTGGGTGGGCAGCGCAGAAGGCAGTAGCCCTCTGGGGCAAGCAGTTCAGGTGTGCTTGAACTCTGCCAATAACGGCTGAGCAAACTTGAGCAAGCTACTTCATGCCTCTAAGTCCTAGTTCCTTTAGTCTTCTCCCTTCCAAGTTTGAGTTTGAACTCAGCGCTTCAGTTACTTGGCTTGCTTGCTCAACTGGTGCTCTATCTACCACTTGAGCTACACCTTCAAGCCCAGCTTTTTGCTGGTTGTTCTGGAGATGAAGTCTCACTAGCATTTCCGCCTGGGCTGGTTTTACACTGAGAGCCTTTAGATCTCAGCCTCCTAAGAGGCTCGGACAGGTGGGAGCCATCAGCATCCAGCTGCCCAAGATACTGGTTAGAAATGATCTGTTTCTTAAGAAATCTATAAGTGACTCTATAAACATACTCAGGCACATTTAGCACACATAGGCTTCAAAAAAGAGACCCAGAAAGGTTGATTCACCTGCCGAGGATCACACAGCACCCAAAGGTAAAATGTGGGACCCTTTCCCACCACATGCCCTCCCTTCCAGTAAGACTTGTCTACCAGATCTGACTGTCATACAGGTGTCCTTTTTGTTCTTTAGAGTATTATATCGCAGCCCTGCCACCAGATACATACTCAGCGGGCTCTGCTCAGTGCTTCAGGGTGGCTGTCGGCGGGTGACCAGTTCCAGAGGTAGAGTAACCCAGGGCTGCTGCCTGAGATGCAGCAAACACACCTTCTAGCCAGCACTGGTGGCTTATACCTGTAATTCTAACTACTCAGGAGGCTGAGATCTTAGAAGCTCTGTTCAAAGCTGGCCTGGGCAGAAAAGTCAGTGAGACTATTGTCTCCAATTAACTACCAAAGCCAAAACAAACAACAACAGCAAAATTCAGAAGTGGAGCTTGACTCAAGTGGTAGAGTGCTAGTCTAGAGCACAAAAGCTCAGGGACAGTGCCTAGGCCTGGCAACACACACACACCCTTCTAGATTTGCACTCCCTTTCACCTATTAACACCTTCCTGATGTGAGGCTTACTCCTAAACAGACAGGAAACTAGTGCTAGTCTAGAGCACACCTATTAACACCTTCCTGATGTGAGGCTTACTCCTAAGCAGACAGGAAACTAGTGCTAGTCTAGAGCACAAAAGCTCAGGGACAGTGCCTAGGCCTGGACACACACACACACACACACACACACACACACACACACACACACACACACACACACACACACACACACACACACACACACACACACACACACACACACACACACTTCTAGATTTGCACTCCCTTTCACCTATTAACACCTTCCTGATGTGAGGCTTACTCCTAAGCAGACAGGAAACTGTGTAAAGCTAAAGGCAGGTGCCCTGCTGGCTGACACCTCCACAAACCCCAGGACTGGGTGAAGCCCCACTTGTAAGGCTGGAAGGATCCTCAAGATCCTAGGAGCCCTGAAGTACCATCATAACAGAGTCCAAGAAGCAGCAGCATAGTTGGGGGTCTCTGAAGAGGCCACATTGGGGTGGCATGTAGAATCATCTCGATATAACTGGCCTGTTGTATCCTGGATCTTTACTACAGTCAGCAGCTCAAGAATTATCTGCGGCCCTACTGTACGCAGGGTACAGTGATGCAGTGCAGGGGCAGAGGGAAAGATGCCAGGCTTGGTTGTTAAAGTCCCAGGTTCCTATCCTGGCCCAACCTGGGTCTATTATCATATTGTTCCTCAGTAGCTGAGCCAGTCTGAGGAAGTAATGCAACATATCTGAGCCCCATGGACTCCTTGCCTGTGAGGGTCAAAGGTGACAGAAGTGAAGAATGAGTCCGGTATAGAGATGGAGTCACTGTGACATCAACACTGGTCCAGCTGTGGCGTAGAAGTGTTCCTGCGTGTTCCATTTCAAAGTCAAGCAAGTCATTTAAATTGGTCTGATATTTTCAAAGTAACCAATTTTCACATACCCCTAACAAAGTCAAACACAGAAATTCATTAAAAAACAAAAATCACTGGGGGAGGAGCAGCTTTTGATTCACTAAGGCAGGGCTTCTGATCAGGCTCCAGGCATATGAAACACTTGATCTCAAAGCCAGATTTGGACTCAAGCACGAGAGAGCAGGGCCATTCCTGAGCTCCAAGGGAAGCCAACCGTCCAGAACCTACAACTGGGAGCCAAGCAAAATTGTATGGAATTCCTCCAACAGAAAACGAGTCAAAGAAAAGTCTAATTTGATTAACAAACGACATCCAGGAAGCATGTCTGTGAATTAGCAAGTAGAACCCTCTGGGCTTCCTAATGGAAAGGAAAGGGAAGGAAAACCAGGAGCGCTGGAGCCATCTGGGCTTAGCCAGAGGAGTTAGTGCACACTCTAACTTGCACTTGGTCTAGACAGGTTAAAGTTCTCTTTGGGCATCACAACACCAGCTCACCTCACATAAAGGTCTAAATGCAGCAGTGCTAAGAATCAGGCATCCTGGAATACACTAGTTTGACCCTATGCCATGGCCAAGCTGGGCTTTAGGAGCCTTTTTCAAAGCAGTTTTACCTATCCTCCTCACCCCGCCCCCACCCGGTACATCGAATTTTATGTTGATTCTATTGACAGCTGCAGATAAAAACAATGTTTATCAAGTTTCCAAATGTGGATTTCTCAAGTAGTAAAAAGAGCTGGATTAGTGGTGCTATTCCCAGCATTCAGGAGAGTAAGCAGGATGATAGAAGTTCAAGGCAGCCTGAACCACATAGCAAGACCCTGTCACAAAAACAAAAAAGCCCAGTGCCAGTGGCTCATACCTGTAAGCCTAGCTACTCAGGAGGCTGATATCTGAGACCTGTAGTTTGAAGCGAGTCAGGGCAGGAAAGTCCATGAGATTCTTTTCTCCAAGTAATCACCAAAAACACTAGAAGTGGAGCTGTGGCTCAAATGGTGGAGCGCTAGCCTTGAGCACAAAAGCTGGATAACAGCACCCAGGCCCTGAGTTCAAGCACCAGGATTGGCACAAAACAAAACCCATCAGAAACAGTAAGGTATCTATGATTGCTGTGTAAGGATGTACCTGAATAACTTAATGTGTCGGGGTATCAGAACAATAAAGTGTCCCCAAAATTCACAGTGCTAGGATTAAAGTGTAGTCAGGGTGTTCTGTGACTCCAATACTAACGCACAGGATCCACCACATGCCCCAAAATGAGTTTCTTGGAGAAAGAGTATAAGGTAATCTCACCTCCAGCTGCTGTCAGTTAGTTGTGTTTTGCAGGTGACACAGGCCAGGCCTTCCATACTAGCTTAGTATAACTCTTAATGCTTCCGAGATACCTGTAGTTGACCCACTGACTGCTGGACTCCGGCTCCAAGTCCACAGCCACTCCCTCAGAGTGTGATGTCAAGAGCTGCTCAGAAACTGCTGAGTGTGCAAGTCCCATGGGGGGGGGGGGAGGGGGGCATGCATGCTCTGACAAGATAGTCCAGTGCCAGGCTGTCACCAGTGCCCAAGGTGGCTGATGCACCCAGGCAATCTCGAGGCTGCTTCTACCCTTGCCTGTGGCCAAGAAACAGTGGAAATGCAACACCTCACACCTGCCAGGAAGAACCAACAGCTGGATTTACACGGGAGAGAAGCTGTTTTTTCTGTCCATCCTGATGGCACCGAATGCTGGCAAGGGAGTATACCTGACTGACCGACCCACTAAGTTAACTGGCTCCAGGTGGTCAACGCTAATTCCAGGAGACCTTATTAGTTATTAACTGATAAGGGTAAACACCCCCCCACCTGTGTGACCCCACCCTCTTGTCCTACTGGCTCCTAACAAATTTCGACAAGCTTCAGCTGTTTCTGAAGAAAGCCCAACATTTCATGTTTGTGCAAAATGCCAAATACCTGCAGACAACTTAAGCTAGCAAGCACAATAAACTTTTAACTGACTCAAGCAAATTCCTCTTGGAATGGAAAAAAAAAATCCTCAAGCCCAATTTCCTCTCAGACCCCTACCCCCACCCCAACTCTCTCTCTGGGCGGGGTTCAAGGGAATTGAGGGGAAGGCTTTGCACTATCTTAGAAAAGGCCAAGTTTCCCTGGGCCGCAGGAACTTGGGCGAAGGGGTTCACGCGTGTCTGCTCCTAGCTGGGGCTCCCGTGCGCCGCCTAGCCGCGCGTCCCACCACCGTTCCAGGCTCCGCTCACTCTGCGTGGGGATCCCCCCCGGCCCCCCCAGTATCTGGACCGGGTTGCAGGAAGTTCATGGCCATGTGCGGGCCGTTTGGGGGGAAGCCACTTGTTTTTTTGGGGGGAGGGAGCCCCTACATAACCCCCCCACCGGCCCAGCCAAGGCGCAAGTGTGGCGCGCCTGCTGTGCCAGTGCCCGGCTCGTGTGCACACACACGTGTAACCACACGCTCCCCAGGACTCTTCCTCTTTTCGGGTGCGGGCGGGGAGCCCAGGATCTAGCCGGACGCGGGAAGGCGACGGGGTGGCCCGGGTCCTGCAGCCCAGGGAGCGCGGGGAGGCTGGCCGCGCGGGGCGGGCGGGGCACCGCCGAGCGGGGCGCGCGTGGAGTCCGGGGCACTTACCGGGACCTCTGCAGTTGCTCGAAGGCGCTGGCGCTGCCGCCCTGCCCCGGCTGCTCCAGCGAGCAGTAGTTCTGCGAGGCCGGCCTGGAGAAGGCGATGGGCAGGATCCCCTGAGTGAACGAGTTGAGGCGACCTCGGCTGCCGCCCCCACTCCCGGGGGTCCCGGAGCCCAAAAAGGCGGCCGCCGGCACCTGCGCGCTGATGAACGCATCGTCCTCCTCCAAGTCCTCCGGCCCGGCGCCCCCGGGCCCGTCGGGCAGATAGAACTGCTCTCCCGCCGCCCGGCCCGCTCCTAGGGGGCTGACGAGTCCCCGAGCGGCCCCGGGGCCCGGCAGGGTGGCGTGGCTGCCGGGGATCAGGGCTGCCGGGAGCGAGGGCTGCGGGAGGTGGGGGCCGGCCGCGGCAGCCGACGCCGCGGTGCCCGGCGTGGGGAGCGCGCTGCCGCCGGCGGCCGGCAGGCTGAGCCGAGTCCGCGCGCCGCAGGCGCTGCCGGGGCCGCTGCCGGGCTTCGCCGCGCCGCCCTCCTCCCCGCCGCCCCAGTCCCCGTCGTGCACCGGCGGCCGTCCGTCCAGCGAGATGTTGGTGAGGAAGGAGAGGGCAGCCTGGCGGCGCCGCGGGTCCACGCGCGGCTTCCGGGGGGGCTCGGGCGGCGGCTGGGCCGGCGTGGTGGCGGCCGCGGGCTGGGGCGGCGGCGGCGGCGGCACCCCGCTGGTGCCCGCGGCGTCGGTGCCGGGGCCGCCGCCTCTGCTGCAAGCGGCTGTGCGGGCGGTGGCGGTGGCCGCCGCCATTGTGTCCGTCTGCGGCGTTCGTTCCCCGATGCCCGGAGAAGCGATCGGCGGCGGCGGCGGGCGCGAGCCGCGGCGACCCGGGCTAGGCAGGGCGCGGGGCGCAGGCGGCGTGCACGGCGGCCCGGCCCCCCGGCGGGAGGGCCATGCTCGCCCCTCGGGGCTCGGGCGCGGGGCCGCCGCGGGACCCCCACGCGCGCCTCTGGAGCTCGCGGGCTGCCCGCCTGCCGAGCGCCGGGCGGTGCGGCCTCGGCGGCCGGGCCCGCGTGTCCGTATTTATAGGTGCGCGCGCCCCGCGCTCGCGCTCCGGAGCGCTCTTTGCAATAACACAGTATCACGTGTGGGGAGTGGAACCTGGGAGGAAAACAAAGCCGGGGGCGGAGGCGGGCGGCGGGAGGAAGAGGAGGAGGACGGGGAGCGGGGCGCGTGGCGGGGCGGGGAAGGGCCGGGCAGCGCGGGGCGTCCCAGCGGCTCCCCGAGCGCGCGGAAGCCAGGTGCGGGCGGCGAGCACGTTCCCCGGGCACGCTCCCCCCGAATCGAGGGCGGGTGCTGACCCCCCGAGGGTCACCGCGTGGAGATGGGCCGCCGGGGCAGTTCGGGGTCAGCAGGATAGTTCACTTGGAGCGCCTGGACACATAGATTCTTACTTAGACTTGCACAAGCAGCTACACAGCCCACGGAAAGTGTCATTCACCATTGAGTCGCGTCACACCCGTGGCAGGCCAGGGGTGCGTGAACATCCCAGTGCTCTCTAGGCCAACCTAAACATCACTTTGGCCCTGACATATATTCTATTTTCCATAAAGACCCAAGTGGGGTCAAAATAGTCTTGCACATAGTCACCTGGGAAAGGTCTGTGAATTGTCTCTTTCTCCTTTATGGACAGTTACTTTCTTGTGTATTTCATAAACAACCAAGTGGCACCTCTCATGCCTTCTAGAAAGATCAGTTCCTGCCTGAGGACGCGAGGACCCATCCTGCAGATCTAATCTAGACCTGGGACTGAGTCGCCGACGACTCCCTAACAAGGGACCATTTGTAGGGGTGGGATGAGGGGTGGGAGATGCTGGCCTGGCCTGTCATGTCTGAAAGCTGTACAAATGTTTCTAGGTAGTTTGGGAGCCTTAACAAATGCTGCATGGAACAACTGTCGCACTGAATTAAGGTCTGTGACACCTGAGTCCTTGCTACCTTTCTCAGAGGGAGAAGCAATGTGTTTAAGATTAACGGATTAATTTAATTAAAGGTTTAAATTTAGCCCTGGAACTAATGGGTAACTCTACATTGAAATTCCACCTCATGTCGAGTTCAGGAAAGTAAAGTAATGCAGAGCAGATATACTGTCCAAAGTAGTACAGCCACCTCGGAGCCAGAGATAGGATGAGTTTCTGGTTGCATTTGCTCAAGACAAGCAGGTCATGTGGCTCTTTACATGAACAATCGTTCATGTTTTTATTTTGTGCTGGTTTCAGGCCTTTTGAATGAGTTGAGCTAGTGTCTATGAACTGTAAACTAACAGCTGCTAAGTCCTAAGTATGGAAACCAATTCCTGGAAATTAGGATTTTAATTACTTGTAGACTACTTTGGAACTTTTAAGTCATGTTATTACAATCGATTTAATTTACAGGACCATTAATTAGCCTGGCTGGGCTGCCAGGCATTGTTTAATGAAAGACTCCAATTCTGCCCCTGTAAAAAGAAAAACCAAAAAACTATTTTGTTTCAAACATGAACAATGTTAGAATCACTAAAGAAGTGGGGACAACATCATCATCTCTTAAGCAACTACCTTAATATTTTCATTTGTTTTGTGTATGTTTTTAAACAAAAGTAAAACCTGTTTACAGCTTGTGATTTTGTTTGTGGTGGTGTAATCTTTTCATTTGCAATGTTCTTGCATAGTATCACTTTAATGACTGCAGAGTGTTCAATCGTGTGTGCACATGTGCCAGTACTGGGACTTGAACCTCAGACCTATGCTTTTTCCCTCACAGTTGGCACCCTACCATTTGTGCCATGGCCTCCAGTTCTGGCTTTTATTGGTTAGTTGGCAATAAAAGAGTGTCATAGATGGCTTCAAATGATCTCAGCCTCTAGAGCAGCAGGGCATAGTGTTCAATTTGATGTACAGGCTAAGTTGTTAAACCTATGTGTTTAATAAGTGTGTGTTTTTCACTCTTGATGTAATAAAGAAAGAGGTGTTGATTTTTTTCCCAGCTTTCTACCTTGCTATTATTGTTGTAGTTTAAGTAGCTGCAGGAGCCAATGGCATGGGATGTTTGTAAGGCTTTTCATCCAGAAACATGGTTTGAAACTGCTTCTCACATTTTCCCCCTAGTATTAAATTTGTTGTCAGTATCTAGTTATTTTCCCACTTGACATCATTCTTTGCCTACTTTAAGTGTCTACTATGAAGATTATTTTCAAGTATTTATTAAAGCATCAAACCCAACTCAATGTCTATTTAACCTCCATGCTCCTGTGATCTCCTAATGTGGACTTGAGAGTTCATTTATTTTTCACCAACTGTGTACCAGCAACAGAGTATTTCTCATCCTTATGATTACCCTGCAATGGTGGTAGTGAGGGCATTGTCATTTATATTTTAAAGACATGTAGCTATCAAGCTCCCAAGGCTGGGCCTGCCTGCCAAGGGCTGTCTCCAGTGCCCATGAACGTTCTTGCGCCCTCTGCTGGTGAGGATGTTTCACAAAAAGGTCCGGTCTCAAGATTACAGCCTTAATGTTCACCTTTCAGTCAATGTCAATGGAAACATGACAAACTTTGGTAAGAAGATCTGAATTTCAAGAGCAAGCCACTTTTTAATCTCTCTTAGCCCATTTCCTTTGGGGGGGTACCATGAGGTACGGATGAGCCTACACAGGGAGGGCTTTATAAACCTTAAAATACTTTCCAAGATTCAGTTGTTATTTAGACTGTCTTAATTCTAATATCCCTAGACTCAGAATTCCTCCAAATTGACTTATTTTTCAGCTATTAACTGGTTTATTGAAAGACTTCTATGTGTACAGTTCCATCTTTGGACAACAGGATGAAAGAAGTATGGGCTGTGCCCTTGATAGAATGAGAGGAAAACAAGCTTGGGACATTGAAACTGAAGTTCAAGGCCAACTCTGATGAAGGGTCAAGTGAGCAAAGTGTTTTCAGGGTCTGAAGGCTTTTCGTTTGAGGTGAGGCTTGTAAGGGCAAGGTGTTAGGCAGAAGCTGTGATCCAAGATGACCTGGAGATGAGGGAGACAGGGAGACCATTTAGGAAAGAGGTGGCTGCCATCATTGTGGTCTTCAATGTCCTGCAAGAGCCCACGTGCTAAAGCATGGTGCCCAGGGAGGCACTATTGTGGGAGGTGGGAGACGTTTTAGGAGATGGGACAAATAGGGAGAAGTTAGGTCATTGAGGGCATTCCCTTGGAAGGAGATTGTGGAACCCGGGTTCCTTCTTTTCTCTTTGTAGTTTCCCAGCCAGGAATGAGTGGTGTTGCTCAACCTCATGCTTCTACCATAATGTGCTGTCTTGTTACAGGCCCAGAAGCAATCAGGCCAATGAATCATAGATTGAAACCTCCAAAACAGAACCCAAACCAACCTTTTCTCTTTATAAGTTGATCAGCTAAGGTATCAGTTACAGTGACAGGAAGCTGACTTAACATACATTATGCATTTGAATTGCTTTTGCATGGCAGGCATAGAGAACTAGAACTTGACATGTCCTTGGTTTGCCAGGTGAACCTACCCCTGCCTTCACTTTCATATTGTTTCCTTCAAGTTCACAACCTGATAATTATTTTTCTTGCATGAAATTCATGTTCTGTTTAAATTGACACAGTACTAGGAATCCATTTAAAATACCCTTCTAGAGTTATTGGCCCTTAAATAATAATTAAGCCAATTAAAAGGTGTGGAAATTAGTTGGGTGCTGCTGGCTTATACCTGTAATCCTAGCTACTCAGGAGGCAGAGATTTGGGAATCATGGGTTGAAGTTAGCCTGGGCAGGAAAATTAACTACCAAAAAAGCTCAAAGTAGAGGTGTAGCTCAAGTGGTAGAGTTCCAACCTTGAATGAAAAAGCCAAGGGGCAATGCCCAGGCCCTGAGTCCAAACCTCAGGACAGGCAACAAAAAAAAATTGAAAATTGGTTTAGAGTTAGTAGTGTGCGCCACACATAGCAGGAGTTATCTGATATCATAGAAATAAGGATTGAGACTCAGACAAACCCATGTTCCAGTGCCAGCGTAGGCCCTTACCAGCATGTACTCTTGGAAGGTCTCCTGTTTGGGAAGATTATAAGCTCGGTGTCTGGTGCCTTCTTCTGTAAATGTAGGTTTGGCAATACTTTACATTGCAGAGTTGTGAGGATTGCTGATGATGTAAATTATGTAACCAGCAGCAGAGTCTGGCGTTCACTGAGTAGCTATTATTAGAAAAGTACAAAATATAGAAAGTACATATAAGAAAGGCCAGGATGTTTTTGTAGTTTTCACTAGTTTTGCCAGAGAGCCAAGACCTGAGTAACTCTAGCTGTCAGCTCCAGTTCAGATCAGATTGTTTTACTGTGTGTTCCATCAGAGTGTGGGCTGCTGCCTACTGATGGGGCACGCCGAGGAATAGATCTAAAATGCAGGTATGGTTCCTGGAGAAACCTGCTCTTCTTAACCCAATAAAAATTAGGGCCTCCATGACTAGAAGCAGGGATTGTCAAAAGGGGGTCTCTCAAGGCCCATGTCTTCTAGAAGTCAGCCTTCTCCAGGGGGACTTGTGATCACTTCTGTAGGCTTGGGTGAATGGAGACGGGAAGGGAGCATGGGGGAGGAATCTTTGTTTTTCTCCTTTACCATTGGTATAAATACCTTCATTTCCCCAGGACTTCTGGGATGAAATACATTCAAATGATACTTGATTTGAAGTCCAGGGATATGAGATGAAGGAATAAATTCAGTGAGTAATATACAGCCCAATAAAACAACTTACAGAAGATGACTTACTTGAACTCCTCATCCTTTTATCTCCTAACTGCCAATCTTGTGCCAGTTTCTAGGCTAGGTGCTGTGAATATTCAGGAGAACAAGAAGGGGTCCTGTCCTGGAGTCATCAAGCTAATGGCAAATACAGTCACGTTAACATTTGTACATGTAATAAATTAAGTATTAAAAAGAAAAGTACTTGATTCAGTGAGCCCCAGCATTCCTCCTAGAGGAGAAGTTCTTCTTCATTCCACTGTTTAGGACACCTCCAATGGTATCCCTGCTACTTCCTGCCATAGTTCTATCCTCTAAATCTCCTCTTCTTGCCTGAGCACCTGCTCTCCCCTCAATGATTGGCACAGCAACACTCTCCAGCTACAGGCTCAGACAGAACTACTTTTATCTTTGGATTGCTGGCACTACACAAAAGAAAGAGGAAGGATTTTGTTTTTGTTTTTGTTTTTGTTTTAGCTACAGCTCTACTGCCAAGGGCAATGTAGAACCTTCAAGCTTT